AGGGGGCTGTGAAGACAGGACACACGCCGTGGAAGAATAAAGCCCAGGACAGAAATAGCTGCTGGCATGTTGGCCACTGTGGCGTGGGGGGATGCCGCCCCCAGGCCCTGGGGCTGGGACTTGGCAGCTATGCCGAGGCGGCTGGCTCTGGGATCCCTGGCTGGCCCTCGCCCTCTGGGGCGGGCATGACCCGCTGCCCTGTGCCCTAGGAGAAGGAGCGCAATGCCCGAAGGAAGAAGAAGAAGACCCCGGCGGCTGCCAGCGAGGAGGCGGCCTTTCCGCCTGTGGGGGAGGACGAGGAGGTGGAGGCGTCAGGCGTGAGCGGCAACGAGGAGGACATGGCTGAGGAGGCCGAGGGTGAGGCCCCGGGACGAACCCAGCCCTGCCCCAGACCCCTGGTCCTCGTCAGACTCCACCCACAGGGGTGGCCACCCCACAGCCCAGGCCCGCCTCTGGCCAGCACCACCCCTCCGCTTTGCAGAGCTGTGTGCTGGCGTGAGAAGTGGCCGACTGCACGGCCACCGCTACCTGCTGTGAGCTGTGTGTGGTCTTCCCAGCCGGGCTCGCTCGTGTGCTCGCTCTCGCTCGCTCGCTCGCTCCTCTCACCCCCAGTGTCCCCATCTGGGTGACAGGTCACACGGCCCCTCAGCCTCCCCTCTAAATACAGGAGATGGGGCTTGGAGCTGCTGGGGGCCTTGGCCCAGGACACCCGCCGTCACAGAGCCGGACTTTCTGTCCGCCTGGCTGGAGTCGACAGTGTGAATGTCCAGGGGGAGGAGGGTGGGGCCATGTCAACACCTCGTGACCTGGTGCAAATGTGGGAGCTGTGACCAGCACCCTGTACCGAGATGGCCGCCCCATAATCAGCGCTGAGCGCCCCCAGAGGCCCCTCCCTCTCAGCGACCCCCAGGCCTGGGACCCACCCAACCTCCCTGGGGCGTCCCCCAGTCCTGCAGTGAGCCCAGAGGGCTGTGTTCTGTAGTCCAGCCTGGGCCCTCGGTTCCTGGGCAGCTTAGCAGCCTTGGGTGTCTCCTGCTGCTTCCCCCCGACTTCTGGACCCTGGCCTCTACTGAGGGGCATGGAAGACGGGGGCCAAGTGGGCAGGACTCCACACCACTCTAAGTTCCCAGCAAGCTGCCTAGGCGGGAAACTCACCCTTGGCTTAGTATCCAGACCAGAGTTGGAACCGCCTTGCTAGAGAACTGGGTGGTAGTGAGCTTGCCGTCACTCAGGGTCAGGGCACAGTTGGCATGGCAGAGGCCCTCCATGCAGCAGTGAGCACAGCTCGAGGGTTGCCCCAAGAAGGTCCTGGGTGCCCCTCCTGGTCCTCGTCCTACTCATGAGGACCATGGAGCTTGGAGAGGAGGGAGCCAGTGGAGTGTGGGCTCAGGAAGCCCCTAGACCAGCTAGATGCCACGTAGCCTCGTGTCCAGAGGTTCCTCCCTGCGGAGGCCAGGCTGTCTGTGGGAGGGAACTCAGGACAGGGCTGTGAGGGGCAGAGGTCTTGCGGGTCCAAGCTGGGCGAGGGGCCGAGGAAGCTACCTGAGGGGAGCGTGGAGGCTGGGGAGACCGGTGGCTGCTGACATCCAGACTGGGAGGTGAAGTCACTGGGCACAGATCCTTTGCCTTCTTGTTCTGGGGAGACTGCGGGGCGAGATCTCACACCTCTGTCCCTGCCTGTCAGGAGCAGGGGCGATCAGGGGAGGGGTGGCCCCCACTGGGCTTGCAAGGAGGCGCCATGGAGCAGTGAAGGCTAGGGAAAGCCTGTGTCTGGGCTCATTGCACGCTCCGACCCCCACCCCACCCCCACACGCTCACTGCCTGGTAGGGCTGGTCACTGGTAGGCTAAGTACCTGCCTGCCACCTGCTTCAACCCTCTGGGACTTACAGGCAAGGCCACACCTGCCCCAGGCGTGGGAGTGTGGACCAGGGAGCAGCCGCTGGAAGCTGCTATTAGCCGGCCACCCTTAGCCCGCAGTCCACCCTGCTGCCTGCTAACCCTTCTCTGACCTTCCTTCCAGCCGTACACGCCTCTGGGAGTGAGGCGCCCAGAGGGGAGTGCAGCGCCCCAGGTATGGACGAGTACTGGCCGGGCCAGGGAGGGGACCTTACAGAGCCACGCACCTGTCCCCTCTGCCCCCGTGTGTGCTGCTGCTGCTGTTGCTGCTGCTCTTACCCTTCCGCAGCGCGGTGTCTGCCCCTGCCTCGCCCAGGAGGGAGCTCTGTGGATTGTCACTCCTGTGCTCACTAGGGCTCTCCCCACAGCTAGCGTGGGGGTTCAGAGACCCTCCTGTTACAGGAAAGGGGTGAGTCTCCCAGGAGGTGTCAAAAGCCCAAGAGAAAGGCCTGGGCCCCCACCCTCCTAGCGCTTACTGTGCACCTGCGTGCTGGGACCACACAGTCACTACCTGCTGTGGGCCGGGTCCAGACACAGTCACTACCTGCCTTGTGTCAAGTCCACGCACAGTCAGTCAGCACTTAGACTGCCCCCCTGTGTGCCAGACCCATGCACAGTCAGTCAGTGCGTGGCAGGGGCACACTATTTAGGGCAGGTGCCTGTCCATAGGGTGGTCTTGAGCAGAATTCCTGGCACCTGATGGGGTCCAGCCTCGCTGCCCCTCCGGTCACCAGCTGGGTCCCACCTCCCTGTCCAGCCAAAGCGCTGGTGCTGGCTCTTCTACCTTGTGTGTGTGTGTGTGTGTGTGTGTGGGGGGGTGTACCTGCTTTCCCCTTGCGCACAGGGTCTCAGATTCAGGCCTGTGCCCAGAGGCCCTGACCCTCGGGTACGTGTGGTCAGATGGGCGTATACAAGTTCAGGGCAGGGTGGCTGGAGCCCCTGCCCTTCTGCCTGCTCACCGGCTCTGCTCTCTCCACAGTTGCCGTCAACAACAGCTCCGACACCGAGAGCATCCCCTCACCCCGGACCGAGGCGGCCAAGCCGCCTGGACCGGAGGGGCCGACCCCAGCACCACCCACCCCGCCACCTGAGGAGGCTCCGGCCCCTCCTGAGCCTGCCCTGGCCCCCGAGGCCGCGGGCCCACCCCCACCCCCACCGGCGCCTGCTGCCCCTGTGATTCCCAAGGAGGAGGAGGAGGAGGAGGCCGCAGCCCCCAGCTTGGGCGAGGAGGGGGACGAGCAGAAGCCCACCGTGGTGGGGGAGCTGGTGGTGGACGTGGGCGAGTCGGAGGCCCCCAAGGAGGAGCCGGCCGGGGCCAAGGAGGAGGCTGAAGAGGACGGGACCGGCAGGGCCAAGGATGTGGAAGGGGGCGCCGGGGCCACCGCTGAGGGGGCTGTGAAGACCGAGAAGAAGGAGGGCGGGACGACTGGCAGCAAGGGCACGGGTGCCCCCCAAGACAGTGACTCCAGTGCCACGTGCAGCGCCGACGAGGTGGATGAGGCCGAGGGGGGAGACAAGAACAGGCAAGTGCCCCTTGTGCAGCTCCGCACAGCCCCTGGGACAGCGGCTCGCTGGTCCCTGCTAGGGTGGTCCAGGGGTAGCGGGCATGAGCATATCCCTCTGCCCCAAGGAGGCCTGGGCAGCTGTGGTGGGAGCTCAGGGCGGTGCCAGGAGGCTGAGCGGCCGCTGTGGCTTCAGACGTCGAGGAGCAGCACGTGGCCAGTGCTGCAGGGGAGGGGCAGCTGGAGCGGGCAGCATCAGGGAGGAGTGTCCACCCACGCCTGCCAGGGGTGACTAGGTGACCAGGAGGCCCTGGTGCCAACCTGTGGGTGCTTACCATGTCCTCTGCTCTCTCCACGCCTGGCTCAGGCCCACTCCCTAGTGACCGTCTGTCTGCAGGGCACTGGTGTTTTGACTGAAAGCTGTGGGCTCTGCCCTCTCCTCCCAGCGTCTCGGGAAAGTCCAGGGCCGAACGAGAGGAAGGCATGACCTTCACATCCCATGATTCTGCAGGTTCTAGAGCATTCCACGTGAAAGCCGGTTGCTGGGAGCCTGTGTGTGTAGGCACAGGTGGCCAGGGCCTGGCCCTTGGGTTCCTGGGGACAGTGCCCAGCCTCCCAAGAGGGGGCCAGGCCAGCCGCTCTGCATGCTCTGGGTAATGAGGTCAGGGTCACATAAGAGACGCATCTGCTGGGGAAAGGGGGTGGTGTGTGCTTGTGTGTGTACGTGTGCAAACGTGTGTGCACTCCCACTCGCGCAGAGCTAATGACCGTGTTGATAAGTCTGTGGGACATGAGGCGCTGATGGGTGACTGGAGGGTCAGGTCCCTCTGTCTCCCCAGTCCCAAGAGAGCCAGGCCAGGAACCCCACACCCACAGCTCTCTTTTGCTTTCACTGGCCAGCCTAGGGGCATGTCCCCTCCCCACCACTGCCTGGCCCCTGCCCACTATCTCCTGCAGGGTCCTGTGTCTACCCCCTGGGGTGACCTGGGCACATCCCTGCCCTTTAGGAATGTCTGGACTCTGGCCAGCCAGCTAACCCTCCTCCCCTGGCTGGGGCCTCTCAGGTCTCAGACGTGTCCTGCGGGCACCAGAGGATGCAGGAGGTGGGCAGCGCCTGGCAGATGGGAGGAGTCAGCCCTTCTTGGGAGAGGCCTTGGTAGGCAGACACTGGCAGGACTCCCAGGCCCCCTGGCAGGGTGGGGCCTCCAGAAAGCCCCGCCCTGTCTGGTCTGTGGAACTAGTGGTGCTTGTTCACAGAGGGACCCTCGGGCTCTGGGGCCAGGGCCCGCGCTGCTTGTCCCTTAGGGGCAGAGGAGCAGGGCGTGCTTTGTCCTGGGGAGCTGGGGGCACGGAAGGACAGGATCTCAGTCCCTTCACGGCCTGCCTGATATCAGTGTGCCACGGGCACCCTGGTGGCGTGAGGGTTAAAGTGCTCAGCTTCCCCCAGAGCGGCTCTGACCTGCCTGGGTGGCAGCCTTGGAGAGCCCACAGGGGCACCGCCAGCTCATGGGTACTGAGAGGGGCCAGCCGGGCTGCAGGGCCTCCGCTCAGTCTTGGGTATTACCGGCGGAGGGCCTTCTGTGGAGTGAGGGGTGGTCTTAAAGGGAGCACCACGGGCATGCTGGGGCTCAGACTGCGCCCCGTGGCACGATGGTGGTCTGACTGCAGGAACCAGTGGTAGCAGGTGGCTGTGCCCAGGTTTAGCCCCATCTCCCACCCCAGTGTGTGTGTTGGGTGTTGGCAGAGGGCAGCCAGGGGCTGTTGGCAGGGTGTCTGCCCAGGGAGGGAGCCTCGTTCCGGGGGCGGGGAGGCGCTGGGGGAGGGCAGCAATAGGACGGCAACCCTGGCCACAGGGCTGGCACCCACCCTGGGAACCAGGGTGACCCGTCCCTGGGTCCCCATCTGCTTGGGCTCCGTGCGGAGGTGCTGGAGGCCCTGCGAGCTCCGGCGTGGCTTCCTGGAGAGCTGCCTCAGACACATTTGCAGAGTGAGCTGTGGACACCAGCTGTCTCAGCAGCATCCCTTGTCCTGCCTGACCTTTCTAGAACCTGGACTTGTGCAGAGGCCAGAGAGGAGTGGGTAAGGCAGGAGTCCCTCCTCCCCTGAGAGCCCACTGTCTCCCTCACAGGCTGCTGTCCCCGAGGCCCAGCCTGCTCAGCCCTGCCGGGGACACCAGGGCTCACACCTCGGCCCAGAAGCCGCTGGACCTGAAGCAGCTAAAGCAGCGGGCAGCTGCCATCCCTCCCATAGTGAGTGCCAGCTGCTGCCAGCCCGGCTCCCTGCAGAGCCAGGGTGCAGCCGACACCCAGCCGGGCAGTGGGACTCACACCTGCTTCTAGCCCTATCCCTCCTATTTCCTGACACCTCCCTGGGGACCTGGCTGGGGACAGGGGGAGACTGGAGTCCCCCGTGCTCTGAAGCTGCTTGGCTGCCCCCCACCCGCCTGAACCTAGGCAGGGAATGTCCCTGGCTGGACGTAGTCCGTTGAGGGCCTCTGCAGGAGTGGGGCTAGGGGTCTGACCTAAAAGACCCAGCCCGGCATGGGTGCCGGGCTCCCGGGCTGGCCCAGTCCTGTTTCTCTGCGGGACCCTGGCTATGAGGGGTGGGCTCCTTCCTGGGAAGGGCTGCAGTGGCTGCTCCCACCCACAGTCCAGCAGCTGGACAGGGCCCTGGACTCGGCCGGTCACCACAGGGGCATGGAGTCTTTCCCGGATCGGTGACCTGCTGCACCCCACCTCCCTCAGCAGGTCACCAAAGCCCACGAGCCCACCCGGGAGGACGCAGCTCCTGCAAAGCCAGGTCCCCCTGCCCGGCAGCCCACCCCGCACCTGCAGCCAGACAGCGATGCTTCCCAGCCACCTGGCAGCAGCCCTCAGGGCAAGAGCAGGAGCCCCACAGCACCACCTACGGAGAAGGAGGGTGAGCAGGGGCTGCTGGCGGGCGGGGGCTAAGGGGCTCGTGTCCAGAGAGGCGGCCTTCTGAGAACGCAGCACCAAAGGGGGCGGGAGCTTATCCGCCCCCCCCCCCATGTGCTGGGCTCCCTCAGGAGACTGTCATGAGAGCCCACTGGGGAGCATGGGGTGGCCGGCTGCAGGGGGCTGTGGTGCCCACACTCTGCCCCTGGGGCTGCAGTCAGAAAGCCGGCCAGTTGCTGGGCTTTGCACTGGGCAGCCGCAACACGTTACATCGACACCTGACGCACTCAAGGTCAGGAGCTACTTCCAGTTTCCCAGACTCCTCTCTGCCCAGCCCCGCTGGGCCCAGGACATGTCAAGCCAGCGTCCCTGAGGCAGGCACCCTTCCAGGTGGGCCTGGCAACGCAGCTGGCGCTGTTGGCAGGGTGGGAATCTGCACCCCCTGAGAGCATGGCCCCGGTCTTGGTGGCTGCCCTGTAGCACAGGCCTGGCATTGGCCCTCCCTCTGCCCCCTCCCGGGCCCAGCCGCCAACACCCATCTCAGTCACCCCACCGGGGTCAGTGACCTCAAACTCTAGGAAGCTGGCTGGCCCTCAGCCGGAGGCCATGCTCGCCTGTCATAGGACAAAGGGCAGAGCTGCCCGCGAGGAGGAAGGCACGCATCTCACAAGTGCCCAGACCTGCCCGCCCTCGTCTGACTGCCAGCCAAGGGCCGGGCCTGGGGCAGGGGCAGGCTCGCAGTGACTGGGCACACAGTGGAGGTTGGCATAGCAGGCCTGGGCTATCAGGCCATTGTTGAAGACCAGAGCAGGAGCCCCTCACAAGGTGGGAGCAGCATGAAGAGTTGGCTCCTGAGGCACAGCCAGGGGTCCCTGCGGACGGTCCGGCAAGAGCTGGGGATGGGTGGAGTGAAGGGACACTGACACCCCCAGAGGACGGCACGGTTTGGGGAGTTGGGTGTCGGGAAGCCTTGCTGGTCCCAAGCAGAGCCGCCCTCAGGGAGCCAGCCAGGCGCCTGTGCCAGGCCTGCCAGGACAGGTCTCGGCACAGCTGCGGTTCTCCATTCCCCTCGGAGCCCGGCGCAGCCCCATGGGTGCAGCTTGTGCTGGCAGGGGGTGCCTATGGGTCTCCCGGGGCCAAGCTGGCCAGTGGTGTCGGGCCTGGCAGGCCTCCTGGGGTTTGCTTCTTCACCAGGTCAGTAGGACGTGATAGGTGCGCCCCCTCCCCTTGCACGTGTGCGCCCACCCTGCACTGGGGCAGAGTCAGGCACAGGCCACTCGGGGTGACCTGCGCCCCACATGCCTGTGTGCTGTGCCCAGCCCAGGGCGCAGTGGGCAGCACGGGTCGTGAGGCTGGCGGGGCCTGACCGCCTCCTGTGTCCACAGCAGAAAAGCCCGTGTTCTTCCCAAACTTCGCGGCCGAGGGCCAGAAGCTGCCCCTAGAGCCCTCCTGCTGGGCACCGGGTCTGCCCTTCCCCGTGCCCTCCCGAGAGGTGATCAAGGTGTCCCCTCATGCCCCGGATCCCTCGGCCTTCTCCTATGCCCCGCCTGGTGAGTCACCTTGGTGTCCCAACAGGGCTGAGGGTGGACTGTGCAGGGGATTAGGGGCAGCATGGAGCCACCAGCGGGCTGGGGAGGACAGGGCTGGAGGTGCCCGGGCTCTGCCAGTGAAAGCCTTTCAAAGTAGAGCTGAGGGCCGGGGTGGGGGTGGGGTGGAAAGGCAGGGAGCCATGGAGCCACAGGGTCGGTGCAAACGCCCGGGGGCAGCGAAGCTTGAGAAACTGGACCTGCCGCTGGGAGGAAGCGACCAGGTGACCCTGGACACTGGCCAGGGTGAAGCTTTCCTCAGGGCAGTGGAGGGCGTACACCCAGGCCCTTGCTTGACGTTCAGGGTTTTGCCCACAGGTCACCCGCTGCCCCTGGGCCTCCATGACAGCGCCAGGCCCGTGCTGCCTCGCCCACCCACCATCTCCAACCCGCCCCCCCTCATCTCCTCCACCAAGCACCCCAGCCTCCTCGAGAGGCCCCTGGGGGCCGTTTCCCAGGTGAGGCCAGGCCGTGGTGCAGGCAGCACTAACTGCTCCCCGTCTGGGGGTGGGGTCTGCACTGCCCTGGGCACCCTAAGACCTATCTGGCTGGGCACAGTGACCTGTGTGGTCTCAGACTGAGCCCTGGGCCAAGGCGTTGGCCTGGTGGGTGGGGAACAGGCTGTCTGCCCGAGTCCCTGCACCACCAGGTGATGGTCCTCATGGCACAGGTGACAGCCCTGAGGACTCAGGAGAGGAGTGGGCTGGTTTCTGGGGTCACATGGTAGGAGGGGCGGTGGTCGGCCCCGGTCCCTGTCCGGATGGACGGTGTCAGGGTGCCCTGATAACCCGAGGCCCCTGTCCCTCAGGGCATGTCGGTTCAGCTCCACGTCCCCTACTCTGAGCACGCCAAGGCACCCGTGGGACCCGTCACCATGGGCCTGCCCCTGACCATGGACCCCAAGAAGCTGGGTAAGGGTCCGGGTCACCTGGGCTGAATTTGATGTCACCCTGTTGGGGAGGGACATTGCCATCACAGTCCGTCCTGCGGCTCACCCTCTGGCCTTACCCCCTCCCTCCCCAGTGCCCTTCAGTGGCGTGAAGCAGGAACAGCTGTCCCCACGGGGCCAGGCCGGGCCACCCGAGAGCCTTGGGGTGCCCACGGCCCAGGAGACGTCTGTGCTGCGAGGTGAGGCCAGGGGCCCGAACAGCGCCGGCCTTGGCGGGAGTCGGGGGCGGGCACCCGGCTCAGTCCGACTTCCTATCTCCTAGGCACATCTCTGGGCTCGGCTCCGGGCAGCAGCATCAACAAGGCACTGCTCAGCACGCGGGCGCCGGTGGACAGCCCCGTCAGTTACCGGGGCTCCATCACTCACGTAAGGGGGGGCCGCTTCCCAGGAGGAGGCGGGTCACCTGCAGTAGGGCTTGGGGTGCCGTGATTCAGTGCCTGACCATTACACAAGCTCCTTGGTTGGCGCCTGCAGGCCCCATGTGGCTGGCAGGGCCGC